AGTCTGATTTGATGGCACATAACAACAACAGCCATCAGTCAGAAGGGTCAGCTGACTCCCTGTAGAGCTGGAAATGTAAATTCCGGCTATAATCTCTAACAGTACATATAAACTGGATAAAGTCAATCAATAAACCTAACTAAGTCCCAAGTATGTAGCACAACATTATAAAACTGACCTAGCATGCATTTTAAACTCTGCAAACACTTAAAAACAAAAACCCAACCATTGCCACCGAATAGATTCTGACTCACAGCAACCCTACAGGACAGAGTAGAACTGCTCATAGGGTTTCCTAGGCTGCAAATCTTTATGGAAGCAGAATGCCACATCTTTCTGCCACAGAGCGGCTGGTGGGTTCGAACCACTGACCTTCCAGTTAGCAGCCCAGTGTTTTAACCACTTCACCACCAGGGCTCCTGCAAATACGTGAACCATAAAATAATTTATAATAGAATCTTGTCCTAGATTTCTGAAAAGATTTTATTTTTAAATCAAATAAGAACTGTGAACATGCACAAAAAGAAACTAAGCAAAATAAATCTTAGAGGTAGGAGATAGGAGGGCACGCTTTCCAAACAAAACACTTATTATGGAACAAATATGATGGCTGGCCCACACTCCACTCTTGAGTTGATGCAAAAAACGGGTTTTCTTGTTTTGCTTTGTATTTGTTTATTTACGGGCCATTGACAAAGAGCAAAAATAATGGAGTCAAAGCAACGTCAGCGAGGTCTATTGCTTTTTAATCAAACGCAAAATACTTCACTCTCTACTTTTAAATTTAAAACATGATTTACAAAACGACACTATTTACATGGAACAATTTAAAATAACATACTGAGCGCTCTTAGGGTAAGAAAACAGACGGGAGGAGAGCGAGCAGCTATAACGTCACGGCACGGTGCCCGGCGGACCGGGTTCGCGGTCGCTTCCGGCCGGCACTAGCCGCCTGACCTTAGTAAGGGACTGGGCCGTTCTGAGCAGGTTTAGTGTAAAGGATGAAGCTTGAGCAAAGTCATTATTTTACAAACTGTCTTCACGGACTCCGTGGGCTTCCTTGGGAACTCGGGGAAGGTGAAGAACAGAAAACACCGGCAGGCTGCAGCGTCCTTCACCCAGATTCAAGCGGAGCCTCTCACTCCTCTTTGTTTTCCTTTGAATTGTTGAATTTCCATTTAATGGAAGAATTCTGCTGTTACAAATGCTTGAAACCACTGTAGTAAGATATTTTGTAGCACATGACGTGGGAAAAGGACGGTATGCAGACTCCAATCAGCGACCGCACAGCCAGCAGCACAGCGCGTACACACAGGAGGTATCATCCAGGGCCACAAGACACTGACCTCCCAGAGCGCTGGGCAGAGGGTAACACGCACGGGGACTCTGACAGGACAGGAGCGTGTGTGCCGTATGCAGAAGAAAGATTCAGTTAGGACTGCCAGTCAGTGGTAAGCATGCATTGCAACATGAGCTTAAAGTACAACGTCAAGGCTCCAAGAGCAAATGCGATTTCAGGAATCACTAAAAAAGTATGACAGTGGTGATTCAGGGGTGGACTTCTCGCCTTTCATGAGGGAGTCCTGGGTTTGATTCCCTGCCCATGGACCTCGGCACAGCTACCACCCGTCCTGTCAGCGGAGGACTGCATGCCGCTATGATGCTGAGCAGGTTTCAGGGGAGCTTCCAGACTGAGACAGATGAGGAAGAAAGGCCTGCCACTCTGATTCCAAACATCACTCAAAAAAAATCCTATGGATCACAATGGATCCACCTTGCTGTACATGGGGTCACTATGGGCTAGGGGACCAACCCCATGGCAGCAGTCAACAATAATGAAAGTAGTACTTCCAAAATAAGAGAATTCAGTAAAATTGCCAAATACATTTAAAAACAAACAAAACCACCCACCTGTTGGTACTGTTGTTGTTGTTGTTGTTAGGTGCCGTCGAGTCGGCCCCGACTCATAGCGACCCCTCCTTGGGTTTCCGAGGCAGTTATCACTACGGAAGTAGGATTGCCCAACCTTCCTTCCGAGGAGTGGCTGGTGGGTTTGAACCGCCAGCCATCTGGTTAGCAGGCAAGTGTCTTAGCCACTATGCTACCAGAGCTCCCGCCTGTTGGTACTAGCAATAATAAAAGATGACAGGCAACATTTCTGGCCAATGGAACACAGACTGTGTAATAAGTCAGACTCCAATGTTCAAGCCTACACTCCAAAAACTCAAACTCACCACCACTGAGTTGACTCCAACTCATAGCGACCCCCATTGGGTTTCCAAGGCTGTAAATCTTTATGAAAGCAGACGGGCTTATCTGTCTTCCACAGAGCGGCTAGTGGGTTCCAACCACCGACTTTTTTGGTTAGCAGCCAAATGCCTTAACCACTACATCACCAGAGTGTCTCCAAACTTATACTAGGTGTGTAATGTCAGGACAAGCAGTATCTCAGAACCTCTGACATCACTAATGAGGGGCTTAGGCAGCAGAGCTGTGTGGTTAGTGATGCTATGCACTACACCTAGCACAGCTGCTGGTGCACTGCAGGCACTCAGGAAACAGCTAATGCTTAGACAGCACTATGCAAAGCTACATCTCATCTAACTCTCACAGTGGGTCTAGGAAGTAATTATACACAAAAGCAACTTAACCCAAGAGTGGGACCAAACGTGTAAGAGGTGAGATACTCAATGGTGACAGAGTGCTATGCTGGAAGTCCTGCCATTTGCTTCTGGTACAACTTTTCTGCAAAGCAGTCTGGCAATGTACACTGCAGACCTTCCTAGAGTCCAGATATAACGGTCCAGCTTCACTTTGGAAAGGAGAGTAGTCAACAGTGCCTGGTGAGGAGATGGGCATGGTCAAGGGCACACCGACTCATGGCTATCTCCATTACATACAGGTTTTTCACCAGGGAAAGCAAAGTATCTCTAGGAATAGAAATCTTGTCCTTCTTTCTTTCTTTTTCCATTTTTCCCCATTATTGGTTTCTATAACTGTCCCCTGGTCAGCCCAAGTCACTGTTTCTAAGAATCCCTAAAGTACAGCTGTGACCCATTTCACCATTCAGCACCTCAGTGTGAACAGAGCCACTGTCCAGGTCAGCCAGCCTTGTCCTTAAGATGAACAAAGGAGTACAGAGCAGAAGTGCATCCTAGCCTTTAGGCCAGGAGACCCTGCGTCCAGAGCAACACACATTTTTTTTTTAAATTGTGATTTGGGTGAAGGTTTATAGAGCAAATTGTTTTCCACAATGCATAATTTTTAAGGAAAGGCCAACACAGAGAAGAATGAGGTCAAAATTCTTCACTTATTCGAAGTCCGAAGTGTGTTGCCCTTTGAGTGCATTATGGCTCAAGACCCAAGGAAAAAGGTTTTCATAAAAAGTCTGATGACAATGGACAAGACTTACCTAAAATGAGATGAAGTTTGGTCTCTGTCTGGAAAGCATAGTGCAATGTCACCAAAAATGGGGACTGCCTAATGTGCTCCAGGACCTGGCGTTCCGTCCACGTGTGCTCTGTCGTTTTGGCTTTCTGGACAATTGTTGCCTTTTTCAAAACTTTCATGGCATACAGCTTTCCAGTATCATGACCACTTATTTTACGCACTAGAAATACTTTGCCATAAGCTGAAAATGAGAGAAAAAAAAATTGAAAAGAATTAAAATGCTACTTAGGCAGAATGGAAATTTAATGGAAGCTGAAAGTTATAAGGCACAAAAAAACAACTCTTTGAAGAAAAAAGTCTCTTTTGTGCTGGTTCAAACTGTTCTTTGATGGATTTCTTCAATTTTATACCAATATATTTCTAGCCCTAACCCTCAATGTTTACATATCTAACTACACGGGCATGATTATGCCTTCACTCTTTTAGTTTGTAGTTTTAGGAAACTAGCTGTTATTATGGTCAATTAACTACAGTCCAATTCAGCACAACTAGGACATTGGTAGCATAGTGCCTAAGGCATTTGACTGCTAACCAGAAGGCTAAACCCATCGGCCACTCCTCCAAGGAAGGTTGGGCAATCTACTTCCTTAGTGATACCGCCTCCCTTGGAAACCCAAGGAGGGGGTGCTATGCTCCACAACAGTGGGTAGGACATTTTAGACATCAGATAAAACCTCTAGATAGATATGTTTGCTGTTGACACAGACAATTGAAAACAATTCTTGGGAGGAATCTCACATCCTTATAAAAGCATGCACTCCAAGTACCCCTGTCTAAAAAAAAGGCCTAAAGCAACACAACTGGTATTACATAAACAAAAGGGGTCTTCAGGTTAATGAGCAGCAAACAACCATAAATTCCAAGCAACAAACACAGAATACCACCCTTCCCACCTCTAGGCTGTAATACACGGCTCACTGGTCAATCATGCCACACTGTCCCTAAGGAAGGGCTCTCACACAACCCTGGGCACTGCAGATCAGATTCCATTCATTCACTACCCTGGGGTGGGGGAGACAGGGAGAGATGAGAAGAGGAAGAGGAGGGCAGGGACAAAACACACTTTATAGAAGGGAAGACATGAGTCGCCAATTCATCCCAACAAGTTTTAGACCCTGGTGGTGCATATGAGCTCTGGTGGCGTAGTGCCTAAGGCATTTGACTGCTAACCAGAGGGCTGACGGTTCAAACCCACCAGCCACTCCTCGGAAGGAAGGTTGGACAATCTACTTTCCTAGTGATACCGCCTCAGAAACCCAAGGAGGGGTCTCTATGAGTCAGATCCGACTCAATGGAAGTGGGTTTAGTTTTGTTGTTGGTAGTGGTACATGGCTAAGTGCTTGGCTGCTAATGGAAAAGTTGGCCGTTTAACCTCACCAGCCTTCTCCTGTTGTTATGTGCCATCAAGTCATCTCCAACTCACAGCGACCCTCCTTGGGTTTCCGAGGCAGTATCTCTAAGGAAGTAGTTTGCCCAATCTTCCCTCCACACAGTGGCTAGTGGGTTTGAACCACCAGCCTTCTGGTTAGCAGTCAAATGCCTTAGGCACTATGCTACCAGAGCTCCTGGCCCTGTCCTACTGGGTCATTATGAGTCAGAATTGATTATCAGCAATGGATTTGGTTTACAACTAATCTCTTCTTTTAAGATGCAAATGCCTTCTAGGAGGGTTTCATTCAGTCCCACTTCAAAAGGTAAGCTTGCTGGCCAACAAACATATGAAGAAATGCTCCCGATCATTAGCTATTAGAGAGATGCAAATCAAAACAACAACGAGATTCCATCTTGCTCCAGCACTAGTAGCAAAATTCAACGAGATAGAAAATAACAAATGCTGGCGAGGTTGTGAAGAGATTGGAACTCTCATACACTGCTGGTGGGACTGTAAAATGGTACAACCATTGTGGAAAGCAGTATGGCGATTCCTTC